CCTGACTTTGGACTCTATGTGAGGGTTGGTCTGAGCTGGTCCTGTTGCTGCATTCTTTAGTTGAGTGTTATGCTATTCTAGGTTCTCAGGGACAAGCTGGAGACCTGAACTTTAAATACTCCCAAAGTGGTCTGATCTGGGGCAAAGTCTGATTTCTGTCCCCCTGGTCTGAAGTCTGCAGGTTTTTCATCTGGATTTAGGTCTGAGAAAGAACAGACTATTACTGGATTCATCCCTTTTCAGATGTCTGGAAAGCTCTATTGTCAGAGTGTTAGAACTGTAGGATCCCCTTTAGTCTAGAATTCCTGCCTTGCTAAAATTCAGGGTGGGCTACATGCTGCAAATAAACCTGAGCTCTGTGCTTAGTGTTTGGGTCATACTACTACTGCTGAACTTCCTCTCCTTACATGAGAATGCCACCCCTGAGGGCAAGTCCTCTTCCTACTCCACCCAGAATCTGTGAGCTGGAACTGGGCTGAAGGTGACAGTGTTGCCTGTTTATATCTGTATCCACCACAGTATGATGTCCTGGTGATGGTCTGGAACCTCCTCTTGCTTCTCCCTAAGTGCTAGAGTGCTCCAAGGGCAGTATGCTATCGGCCCCATCCTGTTCCCATTATAGATCTCCTTGTCTGTTTCCCAGTGCCAAGCTGGACTGGACAAATGTCTTACTGAATCTTTCTGGATTTCTCCATCAGAATTTGTTGGTCACAATTTTTTAGATGTGACTGGAAGAGTTTTGTGGAGCAGGGAAGGAAAAGAATAAGCATTTAAATAGCACCTATTAGTGTCAGATACTGTGCTGAGTGCTTTTTTTTTTAAAAACATATGTCTTTACTGCTTTCTACCACTCTCAAGTGCTAGACTTCCTGCCACCTTGGTTCTAGTTCCCAATACATGTTCATTAAATGTTTGCCTTGTGCCAAGGCCTCCTCTCCAGGCTATACTCTAGACTCTGCAGACTTTCTTTTCCATGCCATAAAGTCTTTCACAGCCAGGTAGTTCACTTTACTTCTGGGTTTCTCACAAGAGAAGTTTCCTTTATCTTTTGGACCCATTCCTCTGATTGGCTGGCTCCTCCCAAAACCTCCATTTTAACAAAAGCACTCAGGTCAGCTGTATCTTCCTTTCCCTCCAGGTCCACTCCTGACTCTCTTATTCTATCATGCTTTGAGCTTTTTAGCTTCCTTTTATGTGTTGTTTTCTCTCATTAAATTTGAGCTCCTTGAGGATAGGGACTGTGTATTCCACTAATACTAGAATCCACCCCAAATGTTCTGGACTATTTGTGCCCAACCTGTGGTAGAACATTCTGAGCTCATATTGGTCTGTTCAACTTTGTCAGTTAGACACACTAAAACTCGACTCTAGTATAATGATGTCATTTTGGTCCTCTTTGAGAACAAAGGACAACAACTAACCACCAATTTCCCTAGTGCTTAGCACAGTGGCTAGCACAAAGTAAATGCTTAATAAATGCTTGTTTACTTGCTGGGGATACAAGAAAGGCAAACACATGGTTCCCACCCTCAAAGAATGTACATTCTAATGGAGGAGAAAATATGCAAATAAATAGGCACATACCAGATATATACAGACTAGATGGAAAGTAATCTCAGAACCTGGCAGACACTCGCAGCTCGGGGGGGGGGGGGGATGCAAAAGATCTATTGCTGGAGGTCAGATTTAAGTTAAGTCTTGAATGAGGCCAGAGAGGCAGAATGTAGAAGTGAGGAGGGAGAGCATTCCAGGCATGGTTAAGCCATTGCAAAGGCATGGAGTTGAGGGTGTTCTGTGTGGGTAATGTCAAATAATCCAGTGTAACTAGATCAAAGAGTATTCTGTACAAAGGCTAGAAAGATAGGAAGGGGTCAGAATATGAAGGGTTTTAAATGGCAATTAGAGGACTTGATATTCAATTCTAGAGGTAATAGGGAACCATGGACTTTAAAGAGTAGGAGGATGACATGGGTTGGAGTATCACTTGGGTAGCTAAGTGGAGGATAGATTGAAGTCAATAATAGGTCAACAAACATTTATTAAGTACCTATTATGTATCAGGCACATATAAAAAGATAAAAAGAAAGGCAAAAGAAAGTTCTTGCCTTCAAGCAATTTACAGTCTAATGGCAAGTGGGAAGAGATTTGAGGAAGGGAGACCAATTAGAAGACTATTGCAATATTCCAGGTGAGAGGTAATGATGGTATACACTAGGGTGGTGACAGTGTGATTGGATAAAAGGAGTGTCATATCTGAGAAATGACATGATTTGTCAATGCAATATATATATAGGATGAACCAAGATTGTTTAACTCCAGAACCAGAATCCAGAGTAAGGTACAAAGAAGTGGATCTGGATTTCTATGAGAGATAATAGGATTTATATATGAGAATTTGGGTAATTCTAGCATACTAACCACCAATCCACAGAAATGGAGATGTACAGTTTAGGAAAACCTCCTGGTGTCACTCTGATTAAACTATAAGCAATGAGGTCCAACTTATGGTTTATTCATAGTAGTCATTTATTAGAAGAGAGTAGAAGGTTCTAAAACGAAGAGGTCTTGTGATATTTAATCCTCTTCGTTATTCTTTCCTTTCTCTCTAAGCTGAGCCCACAGTTAAGGGACAGGTACAGGTCCATTCCACCTAGACTTGTCAATCCATAAGTGCTTGGAAGTTCATAGAAGTGAGGTATTATATGATCCCCAAACATGTGCACTAAATAAAAGTCAGTTTAGAAAGAAAAATTTTGCAGTATACATGTTTGTATTAAAGTGTATGTGCATGCGTGTACATGTATATGATCTCTCTTTAGAAAATTGTTAACATTAGCACAACTCAATTGATGAATAAACATTTACTGAGCCTCTGTCCAGGATGCCATGGTAGATGTGAATACAAAGATGTATAAGGTGCTTACTTGGCCTCAAATAACTTGAAATCAAATTGGGGAAATAGAGTATTTCATAAAAAAAGAACATGACAACACAAGGCTACATGAGGCAGACAGTGTTGCTTCAGGAGTTCAGAGGAAGCTAAACAGAGGGCTAGGTTGGTTCTAAAGACTGAATAGAAGATATGAAACTTGAGCTAGGCTTTGAAGGTAGAGAGAACTGTCACAGAGTAGCAAGGGAGAGGAAGTAATTAAACCACAGAAGCAGGAATACATATGGGTTTTTCAGGGATATTAAGTAGACTAATTTAGCTAGAGGAATAGATTGGTATAGTGGAAAAATGAGAAGCAATGGAGAAATTGTAGATTGGAGTCAGATTGTGGCAGCTCTTGAATGCCAAGGTAAAGGATTAAACTGTAAAATATCCTTCTAAATCTAACAGCTTTTATAGTCATATAAAATGATATTAATGAAGGCTTAGCCTTTTAAAACAGCTAGGCTGGCTCAATGGATAGAATCCTTGGTTTGGAGTTCGGAAGATGAGTTCAAAACCAGCTTCAGAAATTCCCTAGCTATGTGACCTTGGGCAAGTCACTTAAACTCTGTTTGCCACTGGAGAAGGAAGTGGCAAACCACTCCAATATCTTTGCCAAGAAAACCCTAAGTGGGATCAAAAAGAGTTGGACATGACTGAAAATGACTGAAAAACAACAAAAATATTTACTGCCTATCTCTTGTGACTCTCCTGCCTTCCACCCCATTTCTGTGTCTTTAATTTGTATATATCTTGTGCTTAATTATCTGTTTGTCTTGTTTTTCTTATTTAACCTGAGTAAAACATAAACTCCTTAAGAGGAAAGATTGTTTTTTGTTCTGACTTTGAATCACTAAAGCCCCCACATAATTCCAGGCACATAATAAGCTTTTAATAAATGTGTGTTAATGAGTGAATGATATAGTATCAGTGTGACTTTGAGAGACTTCCACTACTCTGTTTAGGTATATTACTTGGTATCATCATCACTAATGATGAGATTTATGGCTGCAATCAAACCCATTCAAGTATGTGTAGGCAAAGAAGCCTGTATTACATGATTCAATTCAATTAAATCCATTAAGCATTTATTGTGCTAGATTCTGGGGAATCGAAGTAAAAAAAAAACAAACCTGCTCCCCAAAAAGACAGTCCCAGACTTCAAAGAGCTTCATGGGCACAATCTCTACCTGACCAGCTTCTTCCCTACCACTGCACCCTCAAGATTTCTGTCCCTTTCCAGTGGCTCTGCAGGTGAACTGTCTTTTACATGTTGTCTTCCCCACCCTTATACCCCAGTTACAAATAAGCTACCTGAGAGCAAGGCTATCTGGATTTTTGTTTGTTTGTATCCTCAGTGCTTAGCACATAGTAAGTGCTTACTTATTTTTCATTCATTCATTCATTCATTCGTAATCTGAAGAGAAGTGAGTGACATAGAGTGTAGGACAAGGTAACCATAAGAAATTAGGGATGAGTTGGTAACTGAGTATTAGACTAAGAAAAATTTAAAAATGGAAAGTATTTGGTTAACTCGTAATTAAGGAGGAAGAGGAATTGGTAAGGGAATGAGGCAAAAATTATGGAAAGAAAAAATTCAACTCGTAGGCATTTTGTGAGAAATCTTAATATCATTGGGAGTCCTAACAGGCAATTATTGTTGGAAGCTTCCTTTTCAGGAAGACAATGTCATAAAAAATTATAGAAACTTGGAAACAATTAATTTTCCTTTAGGAAGGGAAATAATAGCTATGTGTAAGTGCTGGAAGGGCTATCACTGAAAGAAGGATTACATTTATTCTACTGGGCCCTAGAGGGCAGAGGAGGCAGATAAGCCTTGATGTAGCAAAGTCTTCCAAACAACTGGAGCTATTGAAGTGTAAAATGGACTGCCTTAGGAAGTTGTGAGTTCTCCCTCGTTTAGAGGTTTTTAAGAAAAGGTTGAACACCTTTTAGACATGGCATCTGGCATCCTTGGACTCTCTGGCCCTGAGGACCCTTTTCACTGTAATTCTGTAATTCTGAAACAAAGCTTGTTGGGTCCAGGAACATGTAAATTATTACCTACCTCTTTCATGTCTTCATAGAACAGATAAAGAATGGGGTGTTTTTCTTTTGCATCCCACCATCCTTTCACATGATCATACCAGGAACCCCAGAGCACTGGAGGTGAATGGAAGAAAACAGAACAATTAGCATCAGTTATGCTAATTGTAGAATGATGACTCATATCGTACAGCCTGACAAAGTACATACTCAGTCACTGTGGTTGACCTTTACTGACTGCTTGTAAAAGGAAAACATCACCTGGAAGGCTAGATGAGAATTTTTAGTAAATTCAACGAGGAAACAATATCACAAGGATCACAAATTGTTCTTTGTACCAGAAAGAACAATACATATGTAAGTGAATATGTGTGTATATTCATACAGTTTGTTGTTGTTGAGTCATTTCAGTTGTGTCTGACTCTTTGTGACCCCATTTGGGGTTTTCTTGGCAAAGATACTGGAATGGTAGGCCATTACCTTCTCTACCTCATTTTACAGATGAGGAAACTGAGACAAACAGGGTCACACAGTAAAAAATTTGAAGTCAGGAAGACTCATCTTCCTGACTCCAGGCCTCATGCCTTAGCCATTGTACCATGTAGCTGCCCACCAGCAATATATAATTATTAAAAGTATCCTGACATTTCACTTCACCTCCAGCATCTTCAGTCTTTTATGCATGGTCTATTTTGTCAACAATTGGTTCAGAACTTGTGTGTACATACCCAAAGAAGGCTGAAGTGAAGGTCACAACCAATGAAAATTCCTCTATTAAAAATATTCCATTCTCTGCATCATGGTGGGAATGTTGGGAACAATGCTAATTCATCAGTAATTGCCTATATAGGGAAATTTCTACTTGTCAGCTCACTCTTGACAGTTCTTCATGCTCATTCTTACCTTTGTGTCCTTGATCATATTATTTATACTTAGAGTGATATAGGATCAGGCAGGGTGATATGATAGAAAGACGGATGAGTTGCAGTCTATACTATAGGAAGAACCTTTCAAATCAGTGAGATTGTATATCCATTGGAATATGTATTCATAGAGGTTGAGCTCCTTACATTATACCAGGCTAATATCTTCTTATTCATTCAATCCTTCCAACAATTGAGAGATAAATATAAGAGGCATGATCCTAGATTTATAGATGAAGAAACTGAGGGTCAGAGAGATTAGAAGATTTGCCAAGGCCATATGGTTGTTACTAATTCTAGCAGAAGTTCTAAGATTACTGTAACTATGAAAATGCTAGCTTCCCATATCCTAGACAATGTTCTACGTAGAGTAGGTTCTCAATAATTGTTATTGACCAGCAAATTGTTTTGGAAAAGAAATTATAAGTAATTTTGATTCCACTTTGAATAATTTGTAGAATCAGATTTTTGAGGAAGTCTGATTATATTGCTGAAAACAGTATACAAATACAATTAGAAAACGTCCTCCTTTGGTTAGTGCTAATGTCAGGTGATTGATGAATCATGTGACCACAGATCTAGTTCCACTCACCTCTCCCATTCATGAATTCCTCAATGAATTCTTCCAAGGTACCTGGGTCAGGTAGCATTTTATTCATTCTTGAGAAATGATAATAAGATACCAGGGAATCTTTTGCATTTCTTGCCACGTAGATTATCTGTGGTGGACACAGATGTAGGTGAAGCCCATGAAAGGCAGTGAAAAAGAAAATATGAGAGGAATATTCATGTTTATTATTAGCAATTATTTTAAAAATGGTTTGGTTTTTAATTCAATTTTATTTCAACTGAATTCTCTGCCCTCTCCATTGAAAATGCAAGGAAAAAAAACTCATTACAAATATGTAAAGTTAAGCAAAATAAATCCTTACATTAGTCAAGTCCAAAATGATGCCTCAGTATTACCTCTGAGTCCACCACTTCTTTATCTGGAAGCAAGTAGCATGTTAAATTATGAGACTTCCAGAATTATGCTTGGTTATTTTGTTGATCAGCGTTAAGTCTTTAAAAGTTATCTTGCTTCACATAAGTTGTTTTATTGGATCTGCTCCCTTCACGTGCATGAATTCATACAAATCTTGCCAAGTTTCTTTGAAACCACCACCTTCATAATTTCTTGCAACACAATAGTATTCCATCACATTCATATACCTGTTTCCCCATATTCCCAGAATTTTTGGTCAACTTTGCAATTTGAGATTTGATTTTTGCTTCTCTAATTATTAGTGATTTAGAACATTTTTGGGTAAGGTTACTGATAGCTTTTAATTCTTCCTCTGAAAACTGCCTACATACCCTTTGACTATTAATTGGCAAATGGCTCTTCATCTTATAAATTTGCCTCAGGTCCTTCTATATAGCATATAAAAAAGACTTTTATCAGAGAAGCCTTCTGCAGAGATTCCCCTCCCAGTTTCCTGCTTCTCTTCTAATTTTGGCTGCATTAGTTTTGTTTGTACAAAAAAAATTTAATATGTAATTAAAACTGTCCATTTTACCTCCTGTGAACCTCCTTATTGTTTGTGTGGTTATAAATTCTACCACTAAATATAGATCTGACAGGCATCTATGCTTTTCTAATTTTTATATAATACCAATGTTCTTTTCTAAATCACATACCCATTTTGAACTTTTAACCTGGCATATGGTTTGAGATGTTGGTTTAAACCTAGTTTCTGATAGACTGCCTTCCAGTTTTCCTAATAAAATTTGTTGAATAGTGAGTTTTTGCCCCAGTATCTGGGATCTTTATGTCTATCAAACACTAATCTTCTGTGTTCATTTGTGCACACACATATATATTTGCACCTGTATGATGTTTGTGTGTGTATGTGTGTACATAATCTGTTCCACTGATCAAGCTTACTATTTCTTATTCAGTGCCAAATTATTTTAATGATTACAGATTTGTATTATAGTTTGAGTTTGAGTTCTGGTTCTGCCATGCCCTTTTCTTTTCCACTTTTTCATTAACTTTGTTGATATTCTTGACCTTTGTCCTCCCTTCAGATGAATTTTATTCATTATTTTTTCTAGTTCTAGAAAGCATTCATGTATTGTTTTTATTGGCATGGCAATGAATGAGAAAATTAATTTAATCAATATTGTCATTTTATTATATTCACTTACCACGAACAACTATTTTTTCCAGATATTTAGATCTTTCTTTATTTGTGTAAGTGTTTTGTAATTGTGTTTAGGTACTTTCTGGGTATCTTGACAATTAGACTCCCAAGTATTTCATACTCTCTGTATTTATTTCAGATGGAATTTCTCCTTCTATTTCTTCCCATTGAGTTTTGTTAGCAATGTACAGAAATGCTAATGATTTATGTGGGTTTATTTTATACCCTACAACTTTGATGAGATTGTTAATTGTTTCAATTAGTTTTTTCACTAAGTCTCTAAGTTTCTCTGAGCAAACTATCATATTATTTGCAGATGTTATGATTTTGTTTTCTCCTTGGCTGTGCTGATTACTTCAGTCTCTGTCTCTCTGTCTCTGTCTCTGTCTCTCTCTCTCTCTCATTTTATTTGTGATAACTAGCATTGCTAGCTCTATGTTAAATGGTAATGGTGATAATGGACATCTCCACTTTACCGCTGACCTTATTGGAAAGGCTTCAAGGTTATCCCCATTACAGATAATTCTGGCTCTTGGTTTTCAGATAGACACTGCTTATCAAATTAAGGATATTTTCAGCTTATTTCCATGCTTTCTAGGGAATCGGTATTCTATCTTGTCAAAACCTTTTTCTGTATGTATTGACGTAATATGATTTTGTTATTCTTGTTATTAACATGGTCAATTATGTTTATAGTTTTCTTAATACTAAACTAGCCCTATATTCCTGGTATAAATATGTTTAATCTAGCTATAATGGGTAATCTTTGCTATGCATGTTGTTTATTGGACACCTATTACTTATATGTACATAAGTTGTTGATGTGTTGCTATAGTCTCCTTGTTAATGTGTTTAAACTTTTTGCCTAAATATTCATTAAAGAAATTGGTCTATACTATTTTTTCTCTGCTTTGACTCTCCCTAATTTAGGTATCAAGACACATTTTTGTCATAGAAATAATCTGGAGTTTTTTTTTCATATTTTCTCAAAGAATTTATATGGTATTGGAGTTAGTTGTTCTTTAAATATTTGGTAGAATTTGCCTCTAAATTCAATTGATTCTGGCATTTTCTTTTATTTTTTCTGACTTTTGATTTTGCTTTGATATGTCTTGAAGTCTCATGAATTCATTAGCTTTGGCTCATTCTAACGTTCAGGAAGTTATTTTCTTTAGTAAAGTTTTGGTAAAGTTTGTACCTATCTCTTGTTCCAACCTGTCAATTCTCTTTCCATATCTTCCACAATTTCAATTTATTTTCTCATTTTTCCTCTTCTACTATCATTTGAATGTGAGGCATTTGGGGTTAAGTGACTTGCCCAGAGTCACAGAGCTAGTGAGTGTTATGTGTAAAGGCTGGTGCTCTATCTGCTGTGCCACCTATCTGCCCCCATCATTTGGTTTTTAAAAACATTTTTAGCACTTAAATAAAATAACTCTGGCTTTATATCTTCCAGGAATTCTGGCTGAACTTCTGTCCATTTTTTTTGAGGCTTTGCTTGACTACTTCAATTTATTCTCTTTTTCTGGGCTTTTTTTCCAGATTCTCCATAGACATAATTATCTTTATGCTGTGATTCTTTATTAATTTGATTATTCTACTAGCCCACTTCTTGACTCTGGACTTTTTATTAGAACTGGGTTCTGTGGACTTCTGAGGGTGGGGGAAGAAATGTCTGCACTGAGCTTTGGGTCTTGTAAGTCTGTCTACAGCTTTCATGTGGTATTGAGTGTCATGTTATTTCAGAACCTCAGAGACAAGTCAGTCTGGGGACCTACAATCTTTCAGTGTTCCCAAACATTTCTGTTTATCTTTCTAAGGTGATGTGGGTAGAAAAAATAGCTCAGTGTGATCTTTTTCCTGGATTTTCTGATCAGAATTTGGTCTGGTGTGTTTTCTAGATTTTTTTTGGAGTAGGAATAGTGGGATAGCTAGACTATACTTCTTCCTTATACTCCACTTTCTTTATCCCACATTCCCCACACAAGATTGTTTAAAGACTTGGGGCACATGAGAGATGGCAGAATGTCATCTGCAGATTGTGGACTGTAATAGAAGGGAAACTTTTCCTTTTTATCCATATGAGAATCTTTATCTAGTACTAGGTAAAGGCAGAAAAAAGTATTTAGAATTTAGAGATCTGACAATTTCTCTATCATGAATTCCAACACTGTAGGTAAGTTTTCACTACAACTTTCCCCACAATTATAAGATCAAAAAGACCCTTTAGAGTCTTAGTTGAATGATGGGTCCACTTGAGATATCTGTTTCATAATTCCCAAGTCATCTGTGTAGTGGATTGGTGCTTGTAAGCAGGCAGGGATGAGCTGAAAGAGAGAGGGAGAAGGTGCTATACTCATATTCTTCCCTAGTTGCCTTTGAGTCTAATTTGATCACCTGCGTTGGCTCAGTGAAATAGTGAAGAAGAGATAAAGGAACTCCTCACACTTTAATGAATATCATCTTTACTTTTCCTAAGGGATGCCATTATTCTGTGTCTCACTACTTCACCATTGTCTGATCCTTAGAAGCAGGGTAGATCATTGGAAAAAGGACTAGATTTGGAATTTTGAAACTAGGTTTCTAATCTTAACTTACACCCCAACTTTGAGATCTTCCTCCTTCTGCTTCTTTATGCCTTGTCTTCTTTGGTCCAAATATTCCCATTGCTCCCTCATGATTGTGTTTTACTGTGTGACTCTGTCTTCTTTCATGCAATGTGGATTATTCATAATTACATTCAGTTCCATCTCAGAGTGATCACTTACTACCTGTGTGACCTTGGCAAGTCACTTTACTTTTCTCTCAGCCTGAGAAGGTTCCTGGGATTAGACTAGATGATCTCTTAAAGCTACTATATATGTATATGAAAGTTTTAATCCTGATAACGACCAACACATGTACATTTCTAGATGCTTGTATCATGCTTCTAGGTAGCAAACTCATGATAATAGCTGACATATACACAGTGCTTTACATACATTATCTCATTAAGCTTTCATAACAACACTGAGTCAAGTACTAGGAGTATTATAGGTATTGTTGCCCCAAATTTGCTAATGAGGCTGCTGAGACTCAGTGAAATTTAGTGCCTTTCTCTTGGTCATACAGCTAACTAGTGTCAGTATTTGTATCCAGGTCTCTTCAGATTCCATGTCCCATATTCTTCTTCATCTTCCTCTTTAAGAGGTAACAATTGATAAATGGTCAGAGTATATGAACAAGCAGTTCTCAAAGGAATAAATTCAGGCTATTGATAGCCATATGCAAAAAACATTTCAAATCATTAATATTGAGGGTCAGAGTAACTGAAGCAGCTTTGAGGTTCCTTCTCATACCCATCAGTTTGATGAGGGTAACAAAAGATAACAATTGTTGGAAGGGCTGTGGAAAAAGAGGCATGTGGAAGGAGCTGTAAATTACTACAGCTGTTCTGGAAAAAAATTGAAACATTCTTCCAAAGTTACTAACAATGCATACCTTTTCACTCTGGAATACCAATACTAGGCCTATGCCCCAAAGAGATAAAGAGAATGAGGACTCATATGTACAAAAATATTGATAACAGTTCTTTTTTAGCGGACAAGAACTGGAAACTAAGAGTGTGTTTATCAATTGGGGAATGACTGAACAAAGCAACATGTATGAATACAATGGAATAATAATATTTCATAAGAAATGATGAAATGGATAGATTGAGAGAATAACCATGTTTCCAGAGGACCAATGATGATGAATGCTACCTGTGTTCTGACAGAGAGGCAATGGCCTAATAATGCAAAATGAGACACACATTTCTGAACATAGCTAATATGAAAATTTGCTTTGCTTGACTATACATGTTTGTTTTAAAGGTTTTATTATTTTTTTTCATACTCAGAAAGAAGGTACAAAGGAGAGAAAACACATGCTTGGTATTTGGAAAAAAAAGAAAATTAAATTAAATAAAACATAAAACCTCTTCATAACTTAATTTTGAAGCAGCTATTATATTTGCTCACCAAGGATAAAATTAAATTAAATAAAACATAAAACCTCTTCATATCTTAATTTTGAAGCAGCTATTACATTTGCTTACCAAGGACTGATCACAAGTTGAAAGAACTGAACAGTGATTTCATTGGTTTAGAATTCTCAGGTGAAGGGATTCTCTCTGCTTCTGTGGGTTAGTACCTTCTTTTCAACTAAGAGTCTTAGAGAGTTGCCTGGTGTACTGAAAGGTTAAGTTACTTATCCGGGGTCCTATAACTTGGATATGTTAAAGGCAGGACTTGAAATCTGGTCTTCCTGACTTTAAGGCTGACTCCCTAATGACTACACAATGATACCTCTCCATATATAAGCAAATATTTCTAAATTTTGTGGCATTTCCTCCACACTCTTTGTTTGAGTTGTTTTCTATATACAAAGTCAGAGAGAATGTTAAGAATAAAGCAAAGTGGAACCTGACCCAAAGACAGTCAATGAAAGAAGACTTTTGACTGGAGAACTCCACTCTCAGTATGCTGTATGATGAAAATTGGATGCAAGTCTTTGGCATTGTGAAGGTACTGTTGTCTACCATGCATAGCCGCTAGATGAGTCTTTTTAAGAAAGACTTGCTTGCTGTTCTCTAGAATACAAGTTAATGCTGAGCAAGACAGATTTGAATTACTGGCTGATCTTACCTTTGAATTTTGTTCCCAGAAAGATGGTGGTAACATCTGGACAGGTAGATGTGTTTTCAGTGTTCTTGGAGAAGGCATTTTAATAGCTAGATCCAGACCTGCAAAATAGTGTAGTGTCATTTAGATGTCATTCAGATTTCCTCTGCTATGAAGTTTTTGTGTAAGTGCTTCACAGACATTCCAAAGAAGTTTTTACTGTGTATAAAGTGATTATTTTTGACTGTCTTGTCCTCCTTTCTGAATATCAATAATAGTAATAGCTGGCATTTGTATAGTACATTAAAATTTCCAAAGCACTTTACAGATATTAACTCCTGTGACATGAAGATGATTTACCATCAATGCCAGCAACAGCACTAGCAGTACAGTTGATATAAATCAGCAGATAGTTCTCTGCTCCTTGACATAAGCACAAGGTCATCAGATAAGAGTTAGCTTTGAGGGCCCAGGGAAACATATGAGATCTGTGTCTTTAATATCATTTGAGAAATATTTGACTATCCATTGTGCTAATCTAACCCTAGAATGGGGAATAGAAAGAGGGCAACAGAAGATAAGAAGCCTGTACGAGAGGAAGGAGGGTATAATGTTGGATTTTAGTGGCTCTTACCCATGACCCGAATGCATTGCTTTAGCCCATAGGGGTCCTAGTTATTCAGTGGTTTTGATACTGACCAGAAATTCATATGACTCAAGGCTTTATTAATTTAATGATATAATTAAATTTAGCCTCTATAGTAATTGCTGATAGATTCAAATCTGCTAGCATGATGTCGAAGAGGAGTAAGTTATACAATCGATGGTAGTAGTGGGCAGCTGATTAGGGTCTTTAAGCTAGTTCAAATATGTTTGCTTCCCAATAAGGGAAAACTTTTTTTTTTGAAACTAAAAATCTTAGGTGGGCTATATATGGCCTATAGACAGCATGCTGGATGGTAGGATTTTAATCCTTATTCCTAAGATGCTTTTAATTTTCTAGATTTATACTGCCATATATACACATATATACATATGCACATGTGTGTATATATGCAAACATGCATGTACATAATACATATATGCATCCACACAAACACACGTGTATTGCTCTCTGTGTGATCCATTTAAGTGTAAGTTGTGGAGCTGAAACAGCGTGAAGTATAATAGGATGACCTCACTGTTTTCTGAATATTATTATGTCTTAATCCCACTTGTTTTTGTATTATCAATGACATGGCGATAGAAAATATACTCTCATTTTAAAGAGAGTGCTTCAGGACTACCACAACTAGTGCATAAACTTGGAATTATTTTCTGAGAGTAAAAATCTGTGGGGCAGCTAGGTGGTGCAGTAGATAGAGCACCAGCCCTGGAGTCAGGAGGATCTGAGTTCAAATCCAGCCTCAGATATATAACACTCCCCAGCTGTGTGACCCTGGGCAAGTCACTTAACCCCATTGCCTAGCAACAAAACAAAAAACAAAAAAAATCTGTGATAGATAGGATAGAAAGGATAAGATAGAATATGAAATCGATAAGATAGAAAAGAACTGCAATGGAATAGATACACCCTGTTTCATTTATAGATCACAAATGTCAGGCAAACACCTTCTCCTCATCCATTTACTGCCTCCTTTTTGTAAAGAAGGGGATGAGATAAAAGAAAGGAAAAATGTAAGAGAAGTGGATGGAAGGACATCAACAATTAACAATCATACCTCTGAACATAAATGGGATAAATTCACCAACATAATGGAAAAGCATATCTAAGTAGAATTGAAAAGAATCTATTAATAGCCTTTTTAAGAGAAAATTTCTGTGGTAAAAAAGAGGCTTATAATGATCCATAGGCACATATTTTTAAAACAGGAAGTTGAATTGTGGTTTTGGAAAGAGCTCTTTTCCAGAAAAGGCTAATAGGTTCAGGACCCTAATTTTGAGGCTAATCCAATTTTAGTTGAGCAAACTTACCAGAATTGAGGGGTGGAGGCAGAACCCACTCAAGAAAAGGATGCCTATCAAAGGTGTTAGCTCGTTGGCACTTCTTTATATCCCCTTCATTTTGGATCATATCCACAATCTCTTGTGTCCAGGTCGTACCTGAAAGAATTTGGACTATTATTTAGCCTACCTATTTAAAGCGTATTTTAACCCTGCATAATCCATTTATTCATTCAACAAATGAAAGCACTTGTTATCTGCAAGGCAATATATGAGAAATATATTATAGAATAATATTATGAGTAATGTGAATAATAGCATTCATTTATTATGAAATAAAAGATTCAGCCAATTCACTCAATAAGCATTTAGTAAGAGCCCATTATGTCTAGAGCACTGTGCTAGGCTTTGGGGGAGATGCAATGTTTTAGGAAGGAGATCACAGTCTGGTGGAACGATAACCCAGTCAAGTCTCAGATATATTGTTGATCACTATTGATGAAGAGACTTTCCACACTGGAACTTCCCTACAAAGATGAAATCACATTTATTATTTATTTTAAAAGAAAAATAATAAATAAATAAATAAGAGACAAGGCATCTATAAAATGAAATGGTTGGACTGAATGACTTTAAAATCCTGTCTAGCTCTAAGTCTACAGTATATATTGCAGTAGTACAAGCAAAGAATGGCAATATTCTTGAAGGAAAGAAAGATCATGGGATCATGCATCTAGATATGGAAGGGAATTCAGAGAACATTGTTTTACAGATTGTGATTAACACTCACAGCAATTAAAGGACTTGCACAAAATCACATGGATCACATGTAGCTGTTATCATGGCAGGCTTCAAGAGGATGGCCAGCTTTTGGTATTGGTCTTGAATGATGAACTTTAGGAGGGACGTGGGAGGGATGTATTCCAAGAGAAGGAGAAAACAGTAGGAAAAAAGGCACAACATGACTTTTGGGGAAATGGCTGGTAATCTAATTTGATTGGAAAAAGATGCAGTAGTGGAAAAAAATTAAGTGGTATTTGGGGTTTGGTGGGAGCTAGACTGTGGAGGGCCTTGTATTAGAATCTTGAATTCTCCCAAATGCATGCAAACTTATTGCAGATAGTGAGTTTGCAATGCAAATTAACTTGCACATAAAGTTTGTTAGACCAACCAAAGGTCTCCCATAAGAAGGTTCTGACTTGATCTATTCTTTATTTTGTCTTAGATTTTTAATAAATTAGAGCAGCAAAAGTGCTCTCTGTCATCTTTTAAAAAAAAGTTTCTTTGGTTTACTCTTTAAATACAGACTGGAAGACGCTGAATGGAAGCGTTAAGAGAATGGAAAATGAGAATTTTCACTTTCAAGAAGTCAGAAGAAGAAGCAGAAAAGAAAGAAAAAGTACCCAAGTGTATTCTGTATGTAAAATTCTTTCCTTATTGTCGGCTTTTATACACACATAGCTTCATTCTGAACTTTTGATCACTGTATTAAGTTATGAAGTGGCTTTGGCTGGCACAGACAGAGGAGATTCCACCTGGCTACAATAATTATGGGGATGGTAAAGACGTCCCTTAAGAGGACTGATGGCTTTATGGATTGTCCCTGAGGAGCTGGGCCTCAGTGAGTCCTGATCTGTTCTAAGGGCATATCTCGATTCATAGAGGGAAAAAAAAAATCTGTTTCCATTTTGTAAATCTGGGGGCTGAGATGGGGAAAAGGAATTATATACCTCATAGAGAAAATTCATTGTCCAGTCATTGGGCCAAAGAGGAATGATATACATTTTGTTGCAAGAAGAAAAAGATACTTCCAACCTATTTTGTCATTTTCCTTGTTCACATTTTGCTATTTTCATTGGGAGGTTTTCCTTTGTAGCTAACTGTCATATCAGGTAGCAGCTCATGGGATCCTTAATGGTAACACAACATTTATAATTTATATTCAACATAGTGCTTTACGTGCCTTAGAGAAAGCTGTGACATCTTAGATAAAGAACTGGCCTGGGTGCTAGGAAGAGCCCAGTTGAAGTCTTACCTCTGACACTGACTTTACCTCCATCTAAGAGGACAAAAGGTGAGGGGATGCTTGTCCATTGTAAGCAGCCTTTTCCTTTTAGTGAAGGTGATGAAAACAGGACTATCCTCTGACTTATATTTAACCTCTTTTCTTTTTATTTATGGACAATGAAATTTGAATTTCATATAATTTTCATAATTCACAAAATATCATCCTCCTTTTGATTGTTTTTCAAACATTTATAATGTAAAACTGTTCTTAGCCTGTGGGCTAGACTGATGCTGGTCACCTTTATTTTATTCCATTTCATTCTGGAAAATATAGCACAATTATCTTATACAATGGATTCATGTTAATTCTAAAGCTTAATTTAGGGAAAATTGCAGATAGGGCCCTTCTGCCTTTTGGTTCCTCATCTCAACCTCTACTCCCCTTCTTCCAAGGAACCCAACATGCTACCGTCTGGTTAGTGAGATCTTCTCACATGTGCCTCAACTATTATCCTAAGTCTCATGTCCATTGTTTCCTACTCCAAAACTATTTCTCTCTTTCTCTTCTTTCTTTCCAAAAAGTGAGCCTATTCCTTTAATTAAGAAGAGCTTAACTGGGTGTTAGAAGGAAAACAGAATTCTTGGGGCTGGTGGGAGTGAACAAAGCTAGTAGGGCACTTTTGCCATTTTGCCCAGGGCTAGATCTGTAATAGACATGAAATCAATTAGAAGCCCACTTCTTCCTGACTTGATAAAGCTAGATTCATCTCTGTGCCTTTGATTTCCACACACCTACCTGCTTTTGCATATGTTGCAATGAGCAGATCATCAGGCTTGGCTTGGAAGTTCCAAATTTTGTCCCAATTATCACTTATCGTCTTGGTCATGAGAATCCCGTTGATTTCTTTGGTTTCTGTATTTAGGGGCTCTTCATTCAGTTGGAGATAGTTCATCTTCTCAAGAGACATTGTGTGATGAGACTTGCCAGTTGCTTAAAGAAAACATGCACCTCAGTCATTTTTCCAAAATCCATTGCAACAATTTCTTTCTTACAGTTTCTTGAGGACATAGGAGGTTTTTTGTAGGAATATTCAACGGTTTTTAAAAATGCAAACCTAACGGAGAGAAGCTAGGCTTGTTGTAGCTGGGAGGTTGCTATTTCTATAATGTTTTTGATAGTATCATTTTAAGAACAGCATAACTCTTGGTTGGTTGAAGGGTTTTCTTGGTCAAGAGACCAAGGTTTCATCCAGCAGGCTAGACTTGGGCCTGGCCTTAACTGGAGGTGAAGTACATGCTGCCCTTGCCTTCAAAAAGAAACTGTTTATTGATAGTTGAAATTTCCTCAGCAGGGAAAAATATTTTCCTCCTGCAATTACAGATAAGTCTTAAAAAGAAAAGGAACACAGAGTTTCATATATGCGTATGTATGTTTAGGTATGTATATATATATGTATATATATATGTTTATATGTGTGTGTATCCACACACACACATACACACACACTTTTTTTTTCTTTTTTTCTTTTGGTGAGGCAATCAGGGTTAAGTGACTTGCCCAGTGTGACACAGCTAGTAAGTGTCAAGTGTCTGAGGCCAGATTTGAAATCGGGTCCTCCTGACTCCAAGGCCAGGCTCTATCCACTGCACCACCTAGCCACCCCCCACACACATGTTTTGAAGCAGCTTTGTGACCTTACACAAGTCTCTCTGGGTCTCAGTTTCCTTAGACAAATAAAGAAAATTTTAAAAATTAAGAATAAAAGCCATGGTAGAAAAAACATCTAGTCTAATTTCCTCATTTTATAGATGTGAAACATAAAGCTCATAGAGGTGAAGTGAATTGGCTAAGGGCCTACAAGTATCAGAGGAAGAATTTGGACCCTATTCTTTCCTATTTCAGTAATTCATGCAAATTAAGATGGATATGTTAAAAATATAAGAATTGATTCAGAAGACAAGTCTTATCCTTGGTGCCCCTTTCTCCACTTTTATCACCAGCCCTCCCTTCTTCAACCCTGTCCTTACTTGCACTCAGTAATTTCATGTTGCTTTCCCCAACCAGTATTCCATGTCTTAAATTTTTCTCTTTGTTCCTCACTTGAAACTTGGATTTCCTTTGTCTTAGTCCTTCACTTCTTCTGGGATATTCAGTTAAGCTGTTAAATGAGTGTGTACTGAGTGATTAATTTGTATTAATAAGTTACTGGGCAGTTCTGCTCCTGTACCCCTTTTCTCTTACTCCTTTTTCTTCTTCTTAGGTAACGTATTCAGATTTTAGGCTTAGAAATACCTCCTTGTAAAGACTAGGCTCCAATGGGGGAGATTTTAGGCACTGTTTTGGTTAACGAGGGAAAGCATTTTAGATACATGGTTTCTTAGCTCCCCTGAAATCCTATCACACAGGTGGTTAATCTTCTCATAAGGCCAACTCTGGTTATGTTGGTTTTACAAAATGCTCCTCCCTCCCCACCTTGGGGTGAAAGTTTGTACTGTT